GAATCTTCCATCGGTGTCTTCCTCTATCCTTCCTTCCACAGATCTTTCCAGTGGTCAACACTCCCACCTCTTTCAAAACCATCGTTCGCTCGGCCGTTCGTTCGATGTGATTTAAACTAGGGCTGTACCGAAAAGTGATTTTTGTAAACGGGACGGGACCAACTATTCCGCCGAATACGAATAGTGTATATTGTATAAAATATATCTTTAAAAAAAACATTTACAATGTCAAATGTACGCTGAACTTTTACTTCACATAAAGTAGCACAGAATAGTCATCTTCTTCTTTAGCATTCTGAGCCCTTGAGGTTTACTGCTGCAGATATCACTCGTCTCCATTCATCTCTCTGGCTGGCCTTATCTTCACAATTTGTGACACAAGTTGTTTGCAGGTCTGGCCGGACATTATCTCTCGAACTTCTTTTTTTGTCTGCCAACATGATAATCATATCACACACAGAATGTTGATCTGTCAAATAATATGATACAGGCAACAAATACCCAATAAGCCACATAGTGTAAAAAGGAGTCCAATAACATACTTCTACTTCTTCTTCAGCATTCCGATCCCTTGAGGTTCATTGCTGCAGATATCACCCACCTCCCCTCATCTCTTTGGTTAGCCTTCTCTTTCCAGTTGGTAACACCAAGTGTTTGCAGGTCTGTCTGGATATTATCTTTCCGACGTTTTCCTGGTCTCCCTTGTGATCTACGCCCATCCTCTCTCATGTGTATACAGTTTTTACTTCTCTGTCATCTGACATTCTTTCAATATACTCCAACCAGTTTAGTCTGTTAGCTCTCATGATGCCAGTGATCAATGGTGATTTAAACATATTATGTGTTACGTTGTTGCTTCTCACTCTCCATTTCCCGCTGTTAGCATCTTCCAAAGATTTGTCGTAAGACTCTTTTCGAAAACCTGTAATAAGGCCTCATCTCTTTTATTTCTGCTTCAAGTTTCACAGCCATATAAAACGACTGGTCTTATCAACGTTTTATATATTTTGATCTTGGTGTTGCGAGACAGACACTTTGACTTTAGCAGATGTTGAAGGGCATAGTATACTTTATTTCTAGATTGTATTCTAGATTGTACTTCTTCTCTCAGCATGTTGGAGCAGTTGAAGTTTGCACCCAAGTAGTTATATGTTTCCGTTCATTTGATTTTCATATTATCGACTTTGATGTGGCCGGAGTTTATATTCTTTCCATGTCTAGTTAGTATTCGTACAGAATAGTAAACATTTGAAAAAAAATTTATGTTTTGCATCCTTCAGTTAGTCTGTGGTAACTAATAACTAGGAATGAAAGAATCCTAAGTATTATAACAAGTAACTAAACTTGGAAATTGTCACTGACAGCTTAGTTAATGCATGAAAGCTGCATAAGCTTTCAACAAAACCAATAGTTCTATGTTGTCAGCATTAAGGCATGAAGAAGCGGGTGTAAGGTAACTACTATTCGTATTCGGCCCGACCGCAACTATTCTGCCGAATACCGAATAGTCAATAGGTCCACTATTCGGCCCCGAAGCAAATACAAAGTGAATATTCGGTACAGCACTAATATATATACATACATATATTTATGTATGTATTTATAATAAACAGACAATGTATTGATCGGCACTCACAGAAAGTAGAAAGACAGAAGGACACACCAGACAACATAAAAATTGAAAGCTATAGTAACTGTGCTGGGAATCGAATCTGTCACCTCTAAATGGCATGTAAGCCTTGCTATAGAAAAAAGTGTACTAAGAATTATGACCAACTAGGCACCCCTAAAATATGTTGCCCTTCATGTTATACAGGGGGCGTCCCATAAGTTTCCATACATAAGAAAAACAAATATGCCACCAATAACGCCATTACAAGTGTTTCTCCATCTGTGCTTTCTGTGCTCTTCAGTATTGGAGGACACGCATCAAAATGTGTTTTCAAAACAATGGTAGTCATACAGAGCATTTTAAATTAGTAAAAATGTTTTTCATATAAACAATTATTGTTTAATGACTGGAAACTTATGGCCCACCCTGCACAGCCGGCCCATGGATCACGCAGACACAGTCAATGCCCTTAGAGCGATTAGACATTCCAAAGATTTTGGAAGAAATGTGTCCACATCACTGCTATGAATACGAGAACTGAGAGCCAAGCATGAGAAGCACTCCGGATGAACATGAAGTCTTGTCAACCAGCCTAAGACTGGCACTATTAACCGCGCGACGCTGATGAATACGTTAAGAGGGAAATCTGAGCACCTATGGATGTGTCCGGAGTGCTGTGAAGATAATCCAACTTTTAACACCCTGCACAAAGATATGGTCAACATCACAACAACCTCATCTCCAGCCACAGAGATGTGGCTGGCCAACTGTTACGGCATTCAGGGTTTCATCCTCGGTAAAGGATGGAGATTTTTCTGTCAGGTGCAAAAATAAAAATCCTAACCTGCACAGATCCAAGATGAATGCTCAAGCACAGGCTCCCCTTTCCTACAAGATCCCCATCATGAAGCAGGTCCTTTACAGAACTTCGCTCTTATTACTGTCTGCCTGAAAGAAATTCAGTCTCTCACCATCTCTCCTTCCTCGTGTTTTCCTACACGAGGTGTGACTTATATCTTGTGCCCATCTTTGTGCTGGTCAACCTCTGCCCCTTTTTCCTGGTGCCATGCCTTCTGATATTATTATTTTGAATCCGCTGTGGCGCTTGATATGGCCAAAATATTGCAGCTTCTGAGACAAGATGCTGTTTATGAGCCAGTTTTCCTTGATGTTCAGGATATTTTAGAATATCACTATTTCTTTTCTTCTTGTTCAGTGATATTATTAGAATATTTATTTGGCATTTCAGCTTAAAAGCTCCTATTTTCCTCTGTAATGCCCAGGGGCCGAGCACACAAAAACGTGATAAATACAGAGAGTGAATACAAGATATAAGTGACACTTTGGGTAGGAAAGTACACGAGGCAAAAGAGATGATGAGAGACAGTTTCTTTCAGGAAGACTGTGTTAGTCACTCTCTTCTGCCTAAAACTATTTGTAAATGATTCCTCCAATTCACTGGTACTCGGGTGGCTTACAAAGTTCAATTCTCTCTCTCATTGTACCCCACCAGGACATCACGCAAACGATGAACACATGGTAACACATAGTGCCACCATGCAGATGAGGATCACCCGTGGAGAGATCTCAGAAACCCCTTTCAGTTGTTATGGCCATATTTATGGCATGGCCAGATTTATGACCACTGGCAAAAGCCAGGGTGCGGCTTCAAATAACAAAAAATTGCATGCCACATAGGGACGACTCGATACCAATAGGTTCAATTCCAGGACTGTGAGTATTACTAATGAAAATACTTTCCAGGTCTAATAGTTTAGAAAATTATTATATTAACCCCCTGCTTCTGAGTACTAAGGCTGAATGGCAGATAATGGCACAATAAGAAGCCTCATGTGTATATGAACAATCACTTAACAGTTTCCCTCACTTTTCTTAGCCGCAGCACCTTTTTTCAATTACAATTTTTCCCCGGCACCCTAACCTACGTAAAAGTATGACTATTCATATGTAAAAGATTTTTAAAAAATTAAACTCATGTATCTTCAAATATTTTGTGAAGATGTTGTGGCTCCCCAAGGCAACGCAACGCACAGTTTGGGAATCACTCTCCTAACAGATGGAAAAACTGTACATAGTAGGGTTTGTTGATTTGAAAAATGTTGCAAAAATAAACATATACATCCTTAACATTTTTATAATGAGTTCTTTTTGTATACTTCTATAATTTTTTTTTTTTGTTTTTTTTGTTTGTTTTGCAAATGCCTTTTTAAAAACATTGGTCCAGTGTGCTGTGGTTTACAGCTAGGCTGCTATATCACAAGACATCCAATTTCAAGGCCCTAATTAATCACTTTTTACAACATGCTCATTAAGGAGCAGTAGATCTATTTTTATTTCCCTAAAATGTGGGCCTCTGTCCCACATGGAAAAGGCCAAAATGAGCACCCAGAAAGTATTCTGAGATGTCAAGATGGCTGCCCGGATATACACCACGTCATTCATTGAGTGTCTCTTCTTCTTTTTAGCATTCACCAATTGTAAACTCTGCAAAAAAGTTCTGGTTGTTCATCCACTTATCCACTTCTAAACTTTGGTCCTGTTCCATAACCTGAGTTGTACATGCACATTTATTTTACCAGAATGGGAGTTGTTAACCTAAAAAAACACCTGGAGACACATTCAGGAGGAGATCGGAGCACTTATGGTCATGTCTAATGTGCAAGGAAGATGATATTTAAATAAACAATCATTTTACAAATCTGGCTTATCTGTGTGCACATTATTGGTTCCTCAACTTTCAGGCAGATGCACCCTGACTTAGAAGGAAACACCCCTGATAAGTTACCTTTTATGATATGTGGGGAGGAGAGAGGGGGGGGGGGGGGTGTCGCAGATCCATTCCCACCCCCACAATGGGACCCCAGAATCCACAGATGGAATTGAGTGCCAACCATCCTTGTGTAGGTTCTAAACAAGAATAGACCCATTGCTCCCCAACAAGCATGTCATAAGAGTCTACTAACTGGGGGCTTTCTTTGCAATCAAAGTGCATCTGCCTGAGATGCAAGAAACCAACAGTCTGCATACAAATAAGTCAGATCTGTAAAATGGATGTGCACACAACACTCAGGTTCTGGAACAAGGCTCAAACCCAGATGTGGCTGAACAATGAGAACTTTCTGCCACTTTACAGCCGGTGAATGTGAAGAAGAAAAAGAGCGTCAGCTGGTTTATAACATATAAGACTAACACTATAAACCCAGTATATCTCTTGGAGTGAGTTGTGTGTGATAGAAAAGGATATGCGACTTGGTGTGAATTGCTTGGAGACCTATGCTCCATTGGGAGCATAAAGGACATAGAAAGAAATTGACGTAAATTCTTTTTTTTAAAAAAACATAATACAATTTCTAAGCATCAGCTGTTATCAGCATGAGCATTTAGAGCCAGTGCCACCCGAGTCCTCATCTTTGCCGAGTTTAATTGGACCTGAACCAGGAGAATGAAAAGAATCAGAAAATCCTTCCAGTTCCGCGTGCTTGGCCATCATCTCTTCAATGAGAAATCTACACAAAATAAAAACAAACATTCATGTACCTAGTAAGATAAAACAAGAAATGGGAATAAAAAAATTTAGTAACAAGAAAAAAATAATAAAGGATAATAAGACAATTAAAAGGATTTACAAAATATGAATAACAAATATCTGTAGCTAACATAATTACGCCGACGTCTGTGCCTGAGGTGTTGCAAACACCCTTCATAATTCTGAGGCGTCGGGTTTGAATTCGGCTGTGGATGATCTGTTAGCAGACCACAGCTCTATCGAGAGCTGACCATTTGCTTAAGATAATCCCAGATGTAGCGCAGTTCTGTTTTGAAGAACAACTTTTTATCCTCAACAATGTTTCTTTCTTTAACCTTTAGCCATATAAGGGGAATTTCTGATAAGGAGAACAAATTCTTGGGTCGCCAAAAAATTCTCCTTATCAGGTCTGCACTGTAGCTAAGTATAATAAAATTGTTAAATACATTCAAGGCTAACCTCTGAGCCACAGAGTCATGCCATTTTGGCATTATTATTAATGTAGATCTTCTTTCTCAAGAAACACAGGTTGAGAACAGGGGTGCAGTCCTCAACAACACAATCCACTGCCCTGTTTGTTAGCAATGCTGAAATGAAGACACAGCAAACATCGAAATCCTGTGGCTTAGAGACTACTGAACTTGTTTCACAATCCTTGACGCAAAAATTAAGTGAAAGAAAAAAGTTTTTACGCTTCAGGCGTACTGGGTACATACAACCACACCGACATTGTCAGGCCAACCGGAACTCGGTGGGTGATGTGGTCAATATCACACTAACCGCCTTTACTTCCAGGGACTTTAAATTCAAGGCTGGATCAGCTTGGGAGCCGATGCCATTTTTTCTTTGGTCCGGCTCTGTTTGAATTTAAAACCAATGACCTTCAGATGCACAGAAGAGTGTCTAGCCGCAACACCTTAGCAGCTCCATTGATGTATCTGCTTAAATTTCAACAGTGAGCAGATTGCAAAGAGGTCTTTCTTGTTGGGGTCTGTTCTGTGGTGTGAGAGTTGCACCATGAAAGAAATTGAGACACCCACATAATAATTCTTACAACAACAGAGTATGGATAGCCGATCTTCATTTTGGAAACAACACTTTTATAAGAAACATGGAAGAGGAAGAAACAATCATAACGGTTGTAGAAAAAGAAGTCGATCAAAAGAACAAACAAAATATAACCATAAACTAGATACAAACCCCATAGACTCCTCTATCATAACTCCTTCTTTGACAGATGTCTCACTCCAGCCAATAAAGTCATGCTCTTTACACATGTCTTCTATTTCACCCTGGGTTACCTCTCTTTGATCTACTTCATCACACTGAAATGGTTAAAAGAAAGGTATGAAAAGGCATATTATGATGACTGGAATTCACAAACAGCCTGTTACACAATTAAAAACCTACCCTGAATTTTCTCGGAAAAGCTACATTTAACTTTTCCAAGCCTGTGTGGGTTCTGAAGTACCATTTTTTAGGAAAAAACAAATTAATCTATCCATCTATTGTCTTCTTCACTTTTACCGGGTTGCAGCCCAGTGTCATGGTTTAATATATTTGTTTTGTGCCTCTCGTGTGATTTGAGTGACAGTTTTCTGGATCTTCTGGCCGTATTCAGCTACTCCATCTATCCATTTTTATCTGGGTCTTCCTCTGGCCTTTCTTCCCGATGTTCTACTGTAAAAGGCCTTATAGGCAATCTGATCCGGTTGCATTCTTACTAAATGGCCAAACCACTTCATTCTCTGTCTTTCAATATGTTTCATGCATGCTCTTGTTCCAACTTTGTCTCTAATGCTGACGTTTGTGACTCTGTCTCTTCGTGTATTGTTGGTGACTCTTCGGAGACATCGCATTTCACACGTAGTTATTTTTTGCATATGTGATTTGTTCATTGTCCACGTTTGGCACTGATAACATAACGTAGGGATGAAATTGCTGTTGATCATCCATCCGTTGTTTGGCTGGTAACGAGATCTTTGGATGACGAAGAAGTGGGGCCAGTTGGTAGTTGACTGCATTGGCTTTTTGAACTCTAGCCTGTATCTCTTTATCGAGTCTTCCATCTTCTGTAAATATGCATCCTAAGTACTTGAATTCTTGAAATTGTTCTAATTGTATGTCATTGATCTTTATGTTTACATTACTGTGTTTCTTTCCTATGGTCATTACTTCAGTTTTTGAGGTGTTTATTTTCATGTCAAATTTTGTACAGTTAGTGAGCAATGAATCAACATGTTGTTGTAGTTTTTGTTCTTCTTGTAACAAACATTGGTCATCTGCAAAGAGTAGTTCATTTATAATATCTGTGTTTTGGTTTGACTCCTGTGCAATTTTATCCATATATGTGATGAAGAGTAGGGGTGATAGGACACATCCTTGTCGTACTCATGATGTAATGGGTAACCAGTCTGTCATACCTTCCGTTGTTCTTACAGCGCTCTGGCTATTTTGATAGAGAGCCATTATGTTTCCCAATAAATGACCCGGTACACCATATTCTTCAAGAATGTTCCATAGTTTATTTCTGTTAACCCTGTCAAAAGCCTTCTCTTGATCAATGAATATAAGATTCTGGTGTTTATTATATTCGATTGTATGTTCACAAATTTGCCGAAGAGTAAATATTGCATCAGTGCAGCTCTTTCTTTTTCTAAATCCAAACTGATTGTTACTTAATTGAGGTTCTAATATCACCCTCGCTCTTCGTTCTAATATTTTTGCAAACATCTTTCCTACATGGCTTTGTAAAGAGATACCTCTGTATGTTTCACAATCTAGTTTATCACCTTTCTTCTTCCATATAGAAACTATAATTGCTCTCTGCCAGTCAACGAGAACTTTCATTTCCTCCCAGGCCATATTGAATATTCTTGTCAGCCATTTTACTGCTGTTGCCTTACATGCAAGTATTATGTCTGTTGTAATACCATCTGTTCCGGCCGCTTTGTTTCTTTTGCTTTGCTCTAGGATCTTTTCAACTTCAGATTCTAATATATTAGGTTCTTGTTCTTGTCCAAATTTTATTTTATTAGACACTGGTTCTTGTGGTCCACTATTCAGTAATTCAGAAAAATATTCTTGCCATCTTCTTTTAACATCTCGGGATTTGGTGAGTGGTTTTTTAGCTTTGCTGTTTATGATCTTTGATGGGTTAAATTTCTCTTCTCTCAGTCTCATAGCTTTGATGCTTCGGTAGAACTGACCTGGTGAATCAGTGCATAGCCTTGCTAATTGTTCTCAGTAGTTTGCCCATGATTCTGATTTCGCCGAATTTACTTTCCTCTTGCTCTTTGCTCTTGCTTTTCTATATTTGATGTAGTCCTCATCTAATTTGGACTTTTGCCACTGATGAAAATATTTCTTATTTTTTTTTATATAAATTTTAACTTCTTCATTCCACCATGCTGTTTGTTTCATGTGTCTTCTTGGCTTTCGGAGTCTGCACTTTTCTGTCATTACATTCAGGAAGCAGGTTTTAAAAATTTTCCACTCTTCTTCTATGTCATTTCCTCTCTCTAGAGTACTGAAGGTGTTTTTAACTGTTTCCTCAACTTGAATTGCCACATCTTTGTCTTTTAGTTTCTCTATGGCTATCTGATCCATCAGCTGCGGTGTTTTATCAATGAAAATTCTTGTTGGTTTATAGAGCCAAAGTACAACAGGTCTATGGTCAGAGTCTATTATTGCATTTGGGATGGCCCTGGAGTTCTTTATTCTCCATCTGTCGCTCTTTTTTGTGAGAATAAAATCTATCTGTGATGCTTGGTTAATATTATTCCATTTATACGAGGTCAATATCTTGCTTCTCTTATGTTGGTATAGCGTGTTGCTGATAATTAGTTCATGCTCTGCACATACATTGAGTAATTGTTCTCCATTGTTGTTACATTTATTTTCTTTGTCCCTAAATGGTCCCATATATGTGGACCATGGAGGTCGATGTTCTCCCACATGTCCGTTGAAATCTCCCATCACATACCAGCCATCAGTGTCTGTAACTTTACGGATGGTTTCACTAAGTTGATAAAAAAATTCCGTTCTTTCTTCTTCTTTGTCGTTACAAGGAGCATATACTTGAATATACGATACTATTCTTTTACCTGCAGCCAGTCTGATACTTATGATTCTCTCTGACACGAATTCTGAATCTAGTAAATATTTTGCTGTTTCTGGAGCAATGATAAAACCCACTCCATGTTTGTTAGTTTCTTGTGGTCGGGTCCCTTTCCAAATCAGAACAAAGTTCTTATGAATTTTCTGGACGCCTTGAGCTTTTCTTCTGATATCAGCAATTCCCAAAACAAATTAATTTAAAAAAATTATAAATAATAAAACAAATTAATAGACTCACTATACTGCTCTTTAACAAGCATGTCCTAGAACGCTATTAATTAAAGTTATGAATTTGTACATGATGTGCAGAAAGGTGCATATATCATAGCCTAGCTGTAAACCATAACAAACAGTAACAACTGCCCTTTTACACGTGAATGCAGAGGTTGAACAACAACAGCCCTTTCCACGTGTCACAAAACAGGTGAGATAGAATGTTTAAAAAAAAAATCTAATTCATCCATCGCTGAATAATGGGCAGTAGAAAGACCACCATGGCAGCATAAACTAGTGTCAATTAGGATAGTATTTCTAGGGGAACAAATCTACCTGGCCATGCCCATGTCCTCTCAAATATAATGAACATTCTCTTTAATTTTTTTTTTAAGTTAGCCTCTGGATACAGCATAAGACAGTCCCAGTCAGCACACATATTTTTCTCATATAAAGCATATACACCAATATCTTGTGCTACCAGTGCCAGACATGGTCAATCACAATAAATCAAAAAGAAAATTAGTAGACATTAAAAATTATGTCGGAGAAAGACGGCAGAAGTGACCAAAAGAAATAAAATTAGGAATGAATTCATATGAGAAAAAAACTGGCACAGAACAAATGCTAGCTTGCACACAAAGACAACCAATAAAATGGTCTGCCCACTTAGAGCAAAAGTAAAGAATGAGCTAAAAAAGGAAGTAAAGAAGAAGAAGCATCTGGCTAGAGATTCTTAGTTAGGAACAAGTCACCATGCAGTGGTGATCACTCGCCTGTGGGATGAAGTAACAAGCAAAATGAAAGATACTAAAAACTTGTACCTGAAAAAAATAATGCAGCGGGGAGTGTCTGCAGCTCTGGACACAACTTGAATCTCAGGGGAAAGGCATTAACCAGATGACAATGGGTACCATCAGTTTTAAAGTTAGTTGCGTGTCCTTTACAGGATGTTGCAGAACCAGCCCCCAAATTTTTTGGCTGTTGTGATTTTTTAAGTCAAATTTACATCCAGTAGTTTTCTATTGTTGGCATCTGTGGCTTAGTCATTGCAAACGCGCTTCGTAGTGTCAGGGTGCCGGGTCCAATCCCAGCTTCGGGCCTTGCGCTGGTTTCGACAGTGGTATTGAAAAGCCATAACAGCCAAAAACAAATGCTAAGGTTGGTTCTGCAACGTCCTGTAAAAGGATACACAACTAGTTTTTAATTCATTTATGGACCGTCGATAACACTGTTGAAACCAATGCAAGGCACAAAGCCCGCAGCTGGGACTGAACCCTGCACCCTGGCATTACAAAGCACATTCGCAATGCCTAAGCCTCAGAAGCCGTACCATCAGTATGGAATCTCTTCTCTTTGCTGGCTGTTAAATAGGGAGACGGAGCTAATATGGGCTTGTCCTGAATTTTGTAATGTTGAATCTTTATCCAAATAAAACCCAATTAGAATCAGGAGAAAGGTTGTGCTGATCAGAATGGAATATACAGGTCTACAACATCACGTACAAAGATGAAAAAGGATTTGATTACTCCAACATTCAGATGGTTCGTGGGTGCTTCAGTTAACAGAGCAATCAGTGTCTACCCACATCACCCAGCAATGGAAAAGCAAGGACACTAACAATATACTATAACACCCTCCGTTTTCTTATTAGTTAATCAATGCGCTGGGTGCTATTAAAGAGAGACGACTACTTGTTTATATGTTGGACACCTAACTAAGTCCCCAGGTTTGTGGTTTAGGCATTCCGATCATAATTCTGAAACACCCGGTTTTATTCTGGCTGCAGGCGATTTGGCTGCTGACTGCTCTGCATTGATTTTGACAATGGTATCGAGCATCCAACTTTCAGAGGCAATGGCAAACTACTGAATGTAAAATTGCCTAATAAACCACAAAAAGAACAAAATAGTAAAGTCTCTTTACATTTCCCTTTGTTTCTGTTTCATTTTATTTATAGTTATTGTAAATGTTTCCATAATCCATTGGAGTAATAATATAGTATCATTTCTTTGAAGCATGAGCTAAAATAGGAAGTGAGGAAGTGAAGGCCGTGAAACAGACACAATGTATCGGAAGAAACTATTCCCATTTAAGTTGAATTTATTCAATTTTGAGCTTTATTTTATGTTGATGTAACTCTGTAGTAACGCACCTGATGAGATACAGCGAAATATGCCTGGCAATAAATTGTGCAATGTATTGTTCGTATCCACATTATTTAAATTCATTATGGGAAAACATTGTTTTGAGTATCATTTCTGTTTTGTTTGTTTGTTTTGTTTTTGTTTATAATATCAGTTTTAGCCTTAATTTCCTTAACTTCTGTGATTGTTTTCTTGTAAAGCTGACCTCTGATACTTATTTCTTGACTGATCAGGTGATTATTACCTTTATAGACAGTTCTGTGTTAACAGGCAGGAAAAGTGCATAGGGGTTCATTGCAAAGGCAAATGGACATTGCTTAGTGCAACTTGATATGGCAACAGCCCGGATGTCTCAGCAGAATACGATGTGGAAGAGTAAAATCAGCATCGCTGTCAAGGTCAATATCTACAAATCACTAGTGTTGTCTATTTTCCTATACGGATTTAAGAGTAGACTTTCACTGTGGTAATGGAAAGGAGGATTCAGGGTTTCGAATGGAAAGCCCCCAAGTTTCAATGGTGATAGGAAGACAGAAAGACAATTTAGAAATACAATTAAAAAAACAACACCTTAAGACAAACAGAGGAATTTAAGTATTTGGGATCAATTTTCACAACCGACGGAAAACTGGACAGAGATATTAGCCCGAGATGTGCCAATCAAGTTATGGGGCAACTATCTCCCCTGTTGACACACAAGCAGATACCCTGGATTACCAAAGTGAATCTTATCAGAACTATTTTTGGCCAACACTATGCTATCAGTGCCAAACGTGGACACCTACATACTCCAATGAACGTAAAATTGTGACAACAGAGATGAAATGCCTTTGAAGAGTTGTAGGAGTTTCAATTAAAGAGAACACGAAATCATAAAATCATATGAATGCTAGGAATAAAGCCAGTCTTACAGGTCATCAAAGAACAACAAATGAAGTGGTTTGGACACCTTACAAGAATGCCCTGGTACTATCTACCACAGCAAGCCACACTGAAAACAACAGGTATAGAGCGAGTGCAAGACCTCGGAAAATATGGAGTGATGGCTTTATGAACAGCCTTAAAGAAATTAACATTAGTCTTAATAGTGCTCTTGACACAGCTCATCAACGAATGTTACATCTCCCCCATACACTTTGCAGAGGTACAAGGTGGAGGAGAAGAAGAAGAAGAAGTGCAACAGAGCCTAGGATTTTATAACACATCTAGTTTGAGAGTGGAGGAGGCAGTCACAGAATCTTTCTGCTAGCCTGAGAACCACCTGCACACATATGCCTTAACTGTAACAGACTGACAAAGTTTGCTGAGAAAGGTGCAGAAAGGCATGCTTCGTGCAGAGTGGCAAGTATCACTTCGGATGTCTCCAGTAAGCATCCTTTGGATCTTTTCTTCTGGTCATGCACATTTGTTGCCATATATGTAGAAATTCTCTTGTCAAGTATGTGTTTTTTAATATATAATTATGCACTTTAACAAGGCTTGAGCCTTTTGAGTGCCGTCCATTCCCAATGTTTCAGTAGACCTAACATTGGATATGATATATAGTAATTAAATGATTATTTACTACTGATTGTAGACAATATGGGCTCCCGATGTTGGCTCTGCTGTCCCATTTGGGGCTGGGGGGGGGGGTGGAGGAGGAGGAGGATAAGAAGAATAACAGTTTAAAAAAAAAACTCAAATAGTCAAAAACAAAAGCATTATTACATTGAAATAATCCTCCTTTGTCATCATTTTCTTTAACTTCTTATTTAGAAAATTATTAGGTCACACACAGAGGAGCAGCTGGTCAAATGGTTCAGAACACACGGCCCTCATGCAGGAGATTTGGATTCGAATTATCAGTAAAATTAGGGAATTTTTTCTTTTGGGGGCAAAAATAAAATCCTAACCTGGTGACAGCACTAGCCATGATACCGCCGTGATAATGACAGTCACACAGAGTGACTTACCTTGTTAGCCAACAAAAGACAAGGCACTGGTGAACCGTCTGTTAAATTACACTTCTGGTCCAGATCCTTTTTCCACTTGATTGAATTTTGAAATGTGTTCTTCTGTGTCAGGTCAAACATGACCAGACATGCATGGGCATCTTTATAATAGACTCTGGTCATGGATGTGAACCTCTCTTGACCTGAAGATAAAAAGTAAATAAGTTAGTAAAGGACTCTTGTCAAACTATTAGTGCAACAGGCACATAATGATAGATTCATATTTGTACAGACCAACTGGCACCTGATGGGTCACTGATCAACATCACTGCAGCCATTTTTACTTTCCAGGACACTTCCTGGTATTCATTATATGCAGGGTGGCTCTGAAGACTGTAAGTTTTTCTTTATTATGACTTCTGGCCAAATTAGCCGACAGCCGGTTGAAAGATGATGCTCTGAATAGTTATATGTTTCCAGCTTAATTTAGCTGATGCAAATTCTTCATTTCTAGACAGAGAAACCAAAGGTTCCATTGCCCAGTTACTGAGAAGAGTGCTTGGTATGACACTGTGAGCTGTGGATATCATGTAGATGGTTTTCTTCTGCTGTGCCAGCAGAATGTTGTTGACTGTACAAAAATGGTAAGTTGGCAGATTATGTTGAGAATGACATGTACTTTTCCAGGTGCTATATCAGCTTTCATAATTAACTATTTGTACCATCTGTGAGCTGTAATTAAGGTGTGGGACTGTTAGTGTTGGCACATCTGACAGCTGCCTTATGCATTTCTAATCTGCATTTGCAAGCTTAAGGATTTTGCTTGGACTGACAAGTTTTCTTACTAGTTTTCAAGTGGGATAGTGAAGGATATTTTTTTGTGACTTCCACTGGCCCAGGAACAGAGTTATGGGGCAACCAGCCTATGGTGATGTTAGAACCTCAACTAAAGACTAACAACCTTTCTTCAATATAAGAGTTGAGTTGGGTCAAGAATTGACATCACAGCACTCAGGGCATTCCCATGCATGCACCGTCCTCATCTTCAGCAGCCAGCTCAGAATTCCAATACTGATGGTGTCGGTCACAATCTGGTTATATGTCCGTCTTGCCTCTCCTCTGAGTGTAGTGAGCTGGCTAGACCCTCTGGTTACACCCAGGTGCCTCCTCTCCAGGCCATAATAATCTTCTTTCTCTACTGATTCTGTTGCTTGTTCCCAAAAGGCCTTCGCCACATCTGCCTTGTCATGTATTAATTCACCACCCAGTGGTGCAGATACAGCCAATCTGTCTGCAATATAAGAATGTATTATATATAAGTAAATGGGGAAAAGGGTGATTCAGTTTCAATATCTTGGAACAGTTATAACATCTGGTAAAAAAACATACTTGGAGAAGACTGAAACTATAATCATCATAGCAGCGTTATCTTTCACAAGTTAGAAACATAAGAGCAGTCTTAAAATTGGTCCAAAAAAGGGAAAAGAAAAAAGAATTTCAAGGTGCTAGAGAATCAGCACTTTTGCAGGTATGTTTAACACTACCACCCGACAGTGCACAACAGAGAGCTCTGTCACTAAGTCATAATGAAAGCAAAGCCAGAGATTGACTACGCAAGTGAGGGATAGATGGAATAGCCAGGACCGTGAATACCAAGGCTCGCAGCCTATGTCTCTTCAAAACCTGACAGCAAAAGGCAGAGCAGAACTTGAGAAGAAAAAGAAGTTAAACATGGACAACAAGCAGAGACCCTCATACATGTAAGAAACAGTAAGCAAAGGCTCCTTTACACACTAATGGTGCATCTACTTCTTAACTTTTTTTGTTGCATTCACCTGCTGTAAGCTCCTGCAGAAAGTTCTGGCTGTTCATTCACCTCCGGACTTTAGTCTTGTTCCAGAACCTAAATACTCTGTGTGCTTATTTGTATGCAGACGGCTGTTTCTTTGCCTCTCAGGCAGATGTACTTCGTCTTCAAAGGAGCCACCAATCAGTTGACACCTATGACACGCTTTTTAGGGAGGCAGTGGGTCCATTCTTGTTTCCTCCAAAATGAGGCTCCAGGAACCCACATGGAAACATCAGGCGTATGATGCTAGACCCCTTTTTTTTTATAGCTCAATCAGCACTTGGTGGGTCATGTTGTTAACATCATGCCAGCCTCCTTGACTTCCTAAACGCTATTTCCCCCCTCCCCCTTTTTTTTAGGTGGGTCAAACTGTCAGATAAGGTCAATTATGGAGGGGGAAAAACTAGAATAAAGGCAGACCAAAAACACATGGGGAAGAGAGCTGGAGAGTAAAGTTAAAAAGACGTAGAGGGCATGGGGCGAGCTGCGTGCGATGGCAAAGGATAGAACAACTTGGTGTGAGTTGGTTAAGAGCCTATGCTTTACTGGATGATAAAGAGAAGAAGAACAAAAATATAATATATAATGGCCATGAATGATAAACTACATAAACAACTAGAATTCAGTTCTTAAACCATACCTGCAATATCCCACAGCTGAAGTTTAATATTGCATTTGTCTGACCACTTTATCACTTTCAAAGCAAAGTCCACTGAAATAAAGGTTTGTACATTAATAGTATAACTTTGCAAATATACTTTCCATTTTTTTTATTACACTAACACTGGGAAAATGGAGCAGAAAATACATTATTCAACTTCTTCTTCGATCTTTCTGTCAGAAAACTTAAAACAGGAGGCCTGCAACCTTTATGAAAGCTATCGTGCAGTCCATATCTCCTCAGGTACCATACAGTTTTCTCTTCATTGTGATTGGAATAGGCCAGATTGTTGTTATGCAACTTAATTATTAAATATTTACACCCATGCCTCGCACTCAACACGTGAAGAAATGGTCTGAGGTATCATCTTCTCCTAAGCATTCTGAGCCCTTGAGGTTCACTGTTGCAGTTATCACCTGAACAGATTGGCTGGATCTGCACCACTGGGTGGTGAATTGATATATGACAAGGCAGATGTGGTCAAGGCCCTTTGGGAACAAGCAATGGAATCAACAGAGACAGAAGATTATTATGGCCTGGGGAGAATGAGGCATCTAGGTGTAACCAGAAGGTCTGGCCGGTTCACTACACTCAGATAAAAGGAAAGACGGACATTTAACCAGATTGTGACCTACCGGTCACCATCAGTACTGGAACTCTGCGCATTCTGCTGAAGATGACGGAGCATGCATGTGAATGCCCCGAGTGCTGTGATGTCAATTCTTGACTCAACTCAACTCAGTTATCACCTGATTCCATTTGTTTCTGTAATAGGTCTTCTCTTTCCAGTGTGTGCGAGCTTGTGTGCATATCTGTGTGTGTGTGTGTGTGTGTGTGTGTGTGTGTGTGTGTGTGTGTGTGTGTGTGCAGGTGTGCTTGTGTGTGTGTGCAGGCATGAAAACGTGTGCGTACATTCCTGAGCGTGTGCGTACATTCCTGAGTGTGTGCATGTGTGTGTAGACCTTATCAGGCATGCTTGGAATAAATGTGTTTTTGACTGACCAGGACAAAGCCAAACAATTACCAGTCCCCAATTCCTCAAGTTATACAAGAGTTAACAAACCTGACGTGAAACGGTTCAACAATACCTCATCCCAAGCCACTATACTGTGCCCTAGTACGAGGTTTCTCAAACTTTTTCGCCCCGACTCCCATGTCGGGCAAAAAAAATTGTACATGACGCGCCTAAACTTAAAGTGCTTTTAATGCTTAGGAAAAGAAAAAAACAAAAACAGTGCAAATTTAAGGTTCAGTTGTCATTAATACGATGAATGAAGCTGTTTGGATGAATTTTTTATGATTTATTTTATGTTTATGGGAAGTTTAGTTAACTGTACCCTTAAATCACTTGAAGGTTGCTCCTCCATATTTTTTTTATGTTAAGGTATGATGAGAATACACTGCAGCCTTGCCAACGGCATTGTTTTCTGAATACACCTGCATCTAGAACTTTTCTTGGCTTCCTTCAAAGTATTTCTGTTTCAAACTTCTGTCTTCGCTGATCTCAAGCAGATTTTGAAAAATTCTTGATTATTGCCGCGGCACTCCTGGCATACATTTGCTGCACAAGTTTGAGAACCACTGCCCTAGTAAATCAGGATGCAAAAGTGCTAAACCATATGTTGGTGCATCAGGAACAGAGCTCAAACAGGTCAACACCCATTTACCCCTCTCCGTAGTCCAGGAACAGAGCTCAAACAGGTCAACACCCATTTACCCCTCTCCGTAGTCCAGGAACAGACCTCATACAGGTCAACACCCATCTACCCCTCTCCGTAGTCCAGGAACAGGAGCTCAAACAGGTCAACACCCATCTACCCCTCTCCTGAGTCCAGGAACAGAGCTCATACAGGTTAACACCCATTTACCCCTCTCCATAGTCCAGGAACAGAGCTCATACAGGTTAACACCCATTTACCCCTCTCCATAGTCCAGGAACAGAGCTCAAACAGGTCAATACCCATCTACCCCTCTCCAGAGTCCAGGAACAGAGCTCATACAGGTTAACACCTATTTACCCCTCTCCAGAGTCCAGGAACAGAGCTCATACAGGTTAACACCCATTTACCCCTCTCCATAGTCCAGGAACAGAGCTCATACATGTTAACACCCATCTACCCCTCTCCGTAGTCCAGGAACAGAGCTCATACAGGTCAACACCCATCTACCCCTCTCCGTAGTCCAGGAACAGAACTCATACAGGTCAACACCCATCTACCCCTCTCCATAGTCCAGGAACAGAACTCATACAGGTTAACACCCATTTACCCCTCTCCATAGTCCAGGAACAGAACTCATACAGGTTAACACCCATTTACCCCTCTCCATAGTCCAGGAACAGAACTCATACAGGTCAACACCCATTTACCCCTCTCCGTAGTCCAGGAACAGAGCTTAAACAGGTTAACACCCATCTACCCCTCTCCGTAGTCCAGGAACAGAGCTCATACAGGTCAACACCCATCTACCCCTCTCCGTAGTCCAGGAACAGAACTCATACAGGTCAACACCCATCTACCCCTCTCCATAGTCCAGGAACAGAACTCATACAGGTTAACACCCATTTACCCCTCTCCATAGTCCAGGAACAGAACTCATACAGGTTAACACCCATTTACCCCTCTCCATAGTCCAGGAACAGAACTCATACAGGTCAACACCCATTTACCCCTCTCCGTAGTCCAGGAACAGAGCTCAAACAGGTTAACACCCATCTACCCCTCTCCGTAGTCCAGGAACAGAGTTCATACAGGTCAACACCCATCTACCCCTCTCCGTAGTCATCCTAGAAACAGGTTCTCAACAGGGGGCCTAGCCACCAGCCGGAAGGTTCTGGTTGTTCGACTACTTCAGGACTTCAGTCTTGTTCTAGAACTTGAGTTCATGCACATCTGTTTTTCAGATCTAGCTTATTTGTATGCAGACTTATGGTTCCTTGCCTCTCAGGAACACTGGAACTTCACAGGAAACCTCTAATTAGTCAACTCTTACAACAGGCTTGCTAAAGAGGCAGTGGGTCTATTCTTTCCCCACCCCCCCCCCCCTTTAATGGGACCCCAAGAACCCACACAGGGAGTCGTGGATTCAAACCTGAGAGACCAAACTTTACGTAAGTATAACACTGCAAAGACCTTAAGATCATCCAGTCTGAGATGACTCACCTCCGATCGTCATCTTGTAATCACGTCTGTAAGAATCATTCACATATCTCTGTACAAAAGATGTCTTGCCAACAGTTGGGTCCCCAATAATTATTACTTTGAACAGTACCTCCATGTCTGTCTATAATACTGTGTCTGGCCAAAAGATAAATGCACTGTTTCCTTGCACTGAAACTTGCAGTGGTACTGATAGACAATTAGGCCATCATCATCTGAAACAAAGATAGCAACAACAAAAAACAGTTACTTTTCATGGTTGCTTAACCTTCCAGGAATGTAAAAGTAAAAAGTAAAGAACCCTATTCCACGCATTCATGTGTAATAGGCATATAGGGCTAGACCTATATTATGAATATCAATGGCACTTCCAGTACTGAAGATGAATTTAATTAAGTAAAAGAAGTAAAGGATCCTTACTTCAATGTCATGAGTGCAGAGACTGGCCAGCTGGTGCTGCAGAATCAAAAGTTAAACAAATGATTCATGACAATTTCTGCCCAAGGGATGTGATTATCTATACAGATGGGGCAGACGAAGTGCATGGGGGTTCATAGAAAAAGCATATGGACATCGCTTGGTGCAACAAAGCCTAGCATATGATATCACAACGTCTAGTTTGAGAATGGAGGTGGAGGCAGTCACTGCTGCATTCAGCTGGCTTCAGAATCAGCAGTACACACATGCCATGTTTGTAACTGACTCACAGAGCATGTTGAGAAAGGTGAAGACAAGTATGCTCCGTGCAGAATGGCAAGCATCACTTCAGAGGTCCCGGTAGTTAGCATCCTTTGGATATTCTCTCCAGGTCATGCCGGTGTGTTGTGAAATGAGCAGGCAGATAGACTGGCCGGTTCTGCACCACTTGGTGGTGAACTGATGTATGACAAGTTAGATTTTGTAAGGGTCCTCTGGGAGCGGGTGAACTGTGCGGAGGCAGAAACAGATCGTTACGGTCTGAGGAGAATGGCGCTGCAAGGAGTTACCAGGAGATCTGGCTGATGATCAACCCTCAAGGGAAAGGTGAGATGGAGACTCAATCAGACAGTTACTGGTGCCATCGGAATTGGAATTCTTCGTTTGCTGCTGAAGAAGGGGACGGAGCGCATATGGGGGTGTCCCGAGTGCTATTATGTCGATTTTTGATTCAACTTCAATGGCACATCAGGCATACAATGCTGGACTCATATCTTTACAAACCAATAAACCCTTAGTGGGTGATGTGGTCAACGTCATTTTGGCCACCTTTACTTCCCAGGATATTAACTGGTACCCATTTTAGACTCGGACAACCTGGGAGCCACAGTCAATTTTGAAAATAATCTCTCTCTATGAGGATTTGACGGCTCTGTGGCTAAGTCGATGCGAACGCTTCATAATGCCAGGATGCCGGGTTCGATCCTAGCTGCAGGCCCTGCATCTTGCGTTGGTTTTGACGGTGGTATCAAGAAAGCCGACCGTCCAGAAAAAAATTACAAACTACTGGACATAAATTTGCCTAGACAAACCACACAACAACCAGGGTCTGTTGGGGTTGGTTCTGCAATGTCCTGTAAAGGATACGCAACTAACCTATAAGGATTTAAACGCAAGACCTTTGAAATGACACCAAGCATATACCCCTACCTACCGCAGTTCCCAGCTCTTTCAGTACCGACCATTTATTACTTTAACTTTCTTTACCTAAACTTAATAGAACTTAAATGTTGCATGCACATCCATTTTACAGATCTGGCTTATCTGTGTGCAGACTGTTGGTTCCTTGGGTCTGTTCTTGTCCCTGTCACAATGGGGCCCGGAACCCACATATATTATTATTTTAGTCTGGGTCAACCTATGAAACCCTGTTAATTTACCAAATCAATTATGGGGTTTTGAAAGTATGATCACTCTGCAAGAAAGCAAACATACTAACTAATGCGCTCGCAATTATGACTCACCTTCTGCATTTGCTAGAGTAATAATAATGAAGAGTTTCATTCACAAATGTAAATATGTTTATTGTTTAAGATATACTCTGCTTGATTTCCAGGGATTTAATTTATAGGGAATGTGCCCTCTGTGTTATTTACCACACACCAAACATGTGATTACTAAAACTGGTGAAAGCTGTGACAACAAATATGAACAATCAATTCTGCACTTGGAAAACAAACAAAGCATATGATAATTGTCAAATTACTGTGGTAACCACTTTGTTATCTTGAAATTCCAATTGTGAGATGTACAGTGTAATAAGCAAAAACAATGTGGTTTGTGTATTTCAGTGGAAAGGACATATCTTCATGCTTCATTGATTGTCGATGTAACAACTATGTAGTAATGCACCGAAACAAATACAGCAAAATATGCCAGGCAATAACTGTACAATGTATTATATACTGTTTGTAAATGCATTATTCCTATGTGCATTCTGGATGGGGTTGGGGGCACAGTCGATTGCAAAGACTGTGTTTCAAAATACACTGGGAGGTGGGGGGGGGGGGTGTAGTCGAAGAAGAGGAGAGCAAAGAAGAACCTAGAATGACAACATCAAGAAATGGACAGGACTAAGTTAAATATATTTATTCATTAAGTGGAAGACAGAGAAAGATGGCAGGTTTTATGCGCTTGTGTTTCCATCGATACACCTCCGTGACCCTATCGAGTCAAGGACTATGTTATGTTGTTATTGCAAGGGGGAGGGGCGGGGGCAGATCCACTGCTACCCTAATAAGCACATCCTAAGAGTTGACAAATTAGGGAATTTCCTTTCAAGTCAGAGTACATCTGCTGGAGAGGTCACCACCAACAGTCTGCATAGACACAAGCCAGATCTGTAGAAAGGATGTGCAAGCAAACACCAGTTCTGGAACAAGACTAAAATCCAGAAGTGGGCGAACAACCAGAAATCACCAGAGTTTACCCCTGGTGAATGTGAAAAAGAAGAAGAAGAAGAAGTAGAGGAAGTAACTGTATTATTTAAAATTTGTTTATTACCTATCTGTATGTGAGAATATCACATATAATGGAAACTCCACACTAATGGTCATATTTCCATTCTTTCTCTTTTGTTTCAACAGTTCTGTAATCTGTGAACAAAAATAATAATGATGTTCAAATTAGGGCTGTACCGAATATTCGCTTCGGGGCCGAATTGTGGACCTATTGACTATTCAGTATTCGGCCGAATAGTTGCGGTCAGGCCGAATACGAATAGTAGTTACCTTACACCCGCTTCTGCATAATCGGCCCTAATGCTGACAAGATGGAACGATTGGTTTTGTTGAAAGCTAATGCATCTTTCCTGCATTAACTAAGCTGTCAGTGACAATTTCCAAGTTTAGTTACTTGTTATAATACTTAGGATTGTTTCATTCCTTGTTATTAGTTACCACAGACTGACTGAAGGATGCAAAACATAAAATGTTTTTAAATGTTTACTATTCTGTACGAATACTTACTAGGCATGGAAAGAATATAAACTGATGCCACATCCAAGTCAATAATGTGAAAATCAAACGAAAAGAAACATATAAGTACTTGGATGCAAACTTCAACTGCTCCAATGAGGCTTTTTTACAGTTTTCGAATATATTTTATACACTATACACTATTCAAGAGACAGGGCTTGTTGGAGATCCATTGCAGCCAACATTCATTGTGGAGACGGCACCTGATTGATTGATTGATTGACTGATTGACTATTCGTATAGTGGTGTGTCGGCACACGAACTGATACATGCTGCAGGAAATCGTGGATTATGAAGAGGCATGATCGCCCACGCCAGCCGGCAAGGCACCTGATGATGATGATGACACTATTCGTATTCGGCCGAATAGTTGGTCTCGCTATTCGTTTTCGGCCGAATAGTGAAAATCACTATTTGGTACAGCCCTAGTAAAAATGCATAAATTTTTATAATGTGCTAGTTAGTCTTTCCTCTTAAGCCTAGTGTGGCGCATAGGGCAGAGGTCATAGCTCTCCATGTATGGCGGTTCATTGCCACCTGCTTTAGGTCTTGGATGTTTGTTAGGCTCATGGTTGAGCTTTCCCAGATGATGGTTGTATGTAGGTAAAAGGTGTTAGGCACATTTAATTCTTTTTTTCTTGTAGCTTCTGCCATGTGGCATTGGTAATCATGTCTGTCAACAGCTTTATTTCTTGTCTACTGTCAACTATTTCTGTAACAAATGTTCTGCCATGTCATGACGTCAGATCTATTATTTATTTCCTCTTCATGTCGCTGTTGACACATAAGGAATTCACAAGTGATCTCTACTGCTGCCAGTCTGCAGCTTTTCTGCCCATGGTATCTCATGTCAGTTTACATTCCTTCATTTCCTGTTCTATCGTCCTTCTCCATGTCTCCTTTTCCCATCTGTTGTCCACCAGAGAGCTGTTTTTGCCAGAGTGTCACAAGGCATTCTGCAAACACATGATGTCAGATAATTCTTTTTTTTTTCGCCCTCAGTCATCAGCATTTGCTGTACATCTATTCCAGCATCAGTCATAAGTAGAACAGTGTGCTTGAGGTCTTCAGCCGTATCTCATAGGTCAAGACTGTCTAACATCATCTATCTGGTTTTTTTCTCTTGATATTCATAATATGTATATTACTATATGAACATTACATGCTTTATTTATAAAATACAACGGCTGTGCTAAAAATGGGTGTTTGGAAGGGCCGGACGAAAGATGGCCCTGCGTGCCCAATTAGACACTCTTTGAAAAAAAAATTTAATTCATTCTCTCTGCATCTCTTCACCTCCAACTTTGCAGCTGTCATTATGTCCTCTTATTTTCTACTTTTTAGTATGCGCCCAAAGAATGTGGGCTATCTTTTTCAAATAAAGGTAATCAGTTCTCAGTGTGAGTTAATTTTTTTTTCAAACAGTTTTTATAAAAATTCAGGCTTGAAAGGTTTTTCTGAAAAACTGAGGCTTGAGAAATAACCAAGACAATCTCTGAAAAAGTGGAATTTTATCAGAGAAAACAGTACATTTGTTTCTTTAAAGGTGGTGGTGGTTTTGGAAAGGGTGGGGGTTGGGGTGGGGGGGGGGAATTTCTTATTTGGGGAATCTGCTATGAATTCTTCTATGCCATAAATTAGTTGTGTATCCTTTACAGAACATTTC